CAGGGGGGACGGGGGACATGGGGACATGGGGGACACAAGGCCACGGAAGGATAACGGGGGACATAGGGTCATGGGGGGGACCTGGGGCACATGGAAGGGACATGAAGGATGTGGATGGGGACATGAAGGACCAAAGAAGGTCATGAGGGACACGGGGGGGGGACGTGGAGGGACAAGGGGACGTAGAGGGACATGGGGAGGGAAAGGTGGGGACAGGGGCCACCCTGGGTGGGGGTGACACGGTGACATCCCCTCTCCTCAGTGTACAAGGTGAAGCTGGTGGCAGTGGAGCACTCGGGGTCACATGACAACTACATCATGAACATCCTCTCCGTCATCAAGATGGGTATGAGCACCTCGGGGGTGGGGGACAAGGCCACCCCGAGGGACACGGGGAGGGTCACCTGGGGCTGGGGACAGCCAGGGGTGGGGACAGCCAGGTGGGTTGGGGTCACTGGTGTGGCTTGGGGGGCCACCAGGTGGGTTGGTGTCACCCAGGGGTGGTGGGGACACCCACAAGGGCTGGTGGCACCCGTGGCTGATGACACCAGTGAGATGGTGACAACGTCGGTGTCCCTGGGGATTGAGAGTCTCCATCGGGGGACACATCAGAGTGGGTGTCCCTTTGTCTTGGGGTGGAGGTGAGATGTCACCAGATGTCACCTGTCCCCAGGCACCGACGAGGACCCAGCAGGAAGCAACCGGACCTTCGTGAGCCACCAGCAGTGCCGGGACGCCCTCAGGCTCCAGAATGGCCAGGACTACCTGCTCTGGGGGCTGGCCACCGACCTGTGGGTCACCGGAGGCCGGTAGGGGACATGGGGACATGGGTGGGGACATGGATGGGGGTCACATCTTGGTGGGGGAGGACGTGGGGACATGAGACACGTGACATTGGAGATGAGAGGACGTGGGGAGATGGGACATTGGGAAGATGGGACGTGGGGAGATGAGAACATGGGGACATGGGACATGGGGACATGGATGTTGGGGAGATGGGACACAGGGGCATGGGGAGATGGGACATTGGAGAGATGGGACACGGGGAGATGGGATGTTGGGGACATGGGACACAGGGAGATGGGACATTGGAGACATGAGGAGATGGGACATTGGGGAGATGGGACATGGGACATTGGAGATGTGAGGATGTGGGGAGATGGAACGTTGGAGAGATGGGACATGGGGAGATGAGAACATGGGGACATGGGACATGGACACTGGGGAGTTGGGGAGATGGGACACAGGGATATGGGGAGATGGGACACTGGGGACGTGAGACATTGGAGACATGAGATGGGACATTGGGAAGATGGGACGTGGGGAGATGAGAACATGGGGACATGGGACATGGGGACATGGATATTGGGGAGTTGGAGAGATGGGACATGGACATGGGGAGATGGGACATGGGGACAGGCATTGGGGAGAAGAGACACAGGGACATGAGGAGATGGGACATGGGGAGAAGGGACATTGGGAACGTGGGACATTGGAGACATGAGATGGGAAATGGGATATTGGAGAGATGGGACGTGGGGAGATAAGAACATGGGGACATGGGGACATGGACATTGGGGAGATGGGACACGGGGACATGGGGAGATGGGACATTGGGGACATGGAACACAAGGAAATGGGACGTTGGAGACATGAGGAGATGGGACATGGGGAGATGAGAACATGGGGACATGGACGTTGAGGAGATGGGACACAGGGACATGGGGAGATGGGACATTGGAGAGATGGGACACGAGGAGATGGGATGTTGGGGACATGGGACACAGGGACATGGGACGTTGGAGACATGAGGAGATGGGACATTGGGGAGATGGGACATGGGACATTGGAGATGTGAGGACGTGGGGAGATGGGACATTGGAAAGATGGGGCATGGGGAGATGAGAACATGGGGACATGGGACATGGGGACATGGACGTTGGGGAGATGGGACACAGGGACACGGGGAGATGGGACACGGGGAGATGGGACATTGGGGACATGGGACATGGGGACATGGATATTGGGGAGCTGGAGAGATGGGACATGGACATGGGGAGATGGGACATGGACATTGGGGAGATGGGACACAGGGACATGAGGAGTGAGAACATGGGGACATGGGACATGGGGAGATGGATTGGAGAGATGGGATGTGGGGAGATGGGACACGGGGACATGGACATTGGGGAGCTGGGGAGATGGGACACTGGTGACGTGGGACACGAGGAGATGAGAACATGGGGACATGGGACATGGGGACATGGACATTGGAGAGATGGGACATGGGAAGATGAGAACATGGGGACATGGGGACATGGACATCGGAGAGATGGGATGTGGGGAGATGAGACGTGGGGAAATGGGACATTGGGGACGTGGGACACGAGGAGATGAGAACATGGGGACATGGGCATTGGGGAGATGAGATGTGGGGAGATGGGACATGGGGAGATGGGACATGGGGACATGGACATCGGAGAGATGGGACGTGGGGAGATGAGAACATGGGGACATGGGGACATGGACATTGGAGAGATGGGACATGGGGAGATGGGACATTAGGGATGTGGGACATGAGGAGATGAGAACATGGGGCCATGGACATTGGGGAGCTGGGGAGATGGGACACGGGGTCATGGAGTGATGGGACATTGGAGAGATGGGACGTGGGGAGGTGGGATGTGGGACATTGGAGAGATGGGACATGGGGAGATAAGGATATGGGGACATGGACATCGGAGAGATGGGATGTGGGGAGATGAGACGTGGGACATGGGACATTGGAGAGATGGGACATGAGGAGATGAGAACATGGGGACATGGACATTGGAGAGATGGGATGTGGAGAGGTGGGACATGGGGACATGGGACATGGGGACATGGGACATGGGGAGATGGGACATGAGGAGATGAGAACATGGGGACATGGGACATGGACATTGGAGAGATGGGACATGGGGAGATGAGATGTGGGGAGGTGGGAAGTGGGGAGATGGGACATTGGGGACGTGGGACATGAGGAGATGAGAACATGGGGACATGGGACATTGGAGAGATGGGTCATGGGGAGATGAGACGTGGGACATGGGACATTGGAGAGATGGGACATGAGGAGATAAGAACATGGGGACATGGATATTGGAGAGATGGGATGTGGGGAGATGAGACGTGGGACATGGGAGAGATGGGACAGGAGGAGATGAGAACATGGGGACATGGACATCGGAGAGATGGGACATGAAGAGATGAGAACATGGGGACATGGGGAGATGGACATTGGAGAGATGGGATGTGGGGAGATGAGACGTGGGACATGGGGACATTGGAGAGATGGGACATGAGGAGATGAGAACATGGGGACATGGACATTGGAGAGATGGGATGTGGGGAGGTGGGACATGGGACACTGGAGAGATGGGACATGGGGACATGGGACATGGGGACATGGACATTGGAGATGGACATGGGGAGATGAGACGTGGGGAGATGGAACGTTGAGGACACACGGCCACGGTGACACCACCACCCACGTCCCCCCGTGGCCTCCTCCGCCTCGTTCCCCACCTTCTCCAACATCTCCTGGGGGGTTGTCCCTCCACGTTTTCCCCCTCCACCCATGGAGGGGGGGGGAAGTCCCACCTCCTCCTGCCCCACACGTGTCCTCTCCACCCCCACACGTGTCCTCTCCACCCCACACGTGTCCTCTCCACCCCCAGCTTCTCCTACTTCCTGGGGAAGGACACGTGGCTGGAGGCCTGGCCCTCGGAGGTGGCCTGTCAGGAGCCCGACCACCAGCAGCTCTGCCAGGACTTCGCCGAGTTCACCGAGGCCATGACCATGTTCGGGTGTCCCTCCTGAGGGGGTCACACCCCCCATCCCCCCCCCAGCACCCAGGGGTGC